TCTCTCTCTCTCTCTCTCTCTGGGCTAAGAAAAAGAATGAAATTAACTTCGGGTACACCTCACCTCTGCTTTCAGAATAAACCTCCACTTCGCACAATGTCAGAACCATTCCAGTTCCCTCAAGTCTGATATTTACATATCGCCCTGTTTTTCTCGGTTTGCAATAAAACGAAGCTTTGTGTACAGTGGCCATTGAGTACAATCCACCACACCTTGGATTTGAGTTCCCATTATTCTCCAAACTGTCTCCTAAGCAGAAAAAAGTCTACGTGAGAGGCCTGCGTTTTTCGTTGCATTCGAAGTACATGGGGATTCTTGAAGAGCTGTGGTATGTTAAGGTTAAGACCGTAGCTTTTTATAATCGCAAAATAAAGTTAACATCGCATGAAAGACTTCGAACTAAACGTAAGGAAACAAAAAATTATTTCATTCAACGTGAACGTTCAGCTTACCCACATAAATTGCTATGTTGCGCAGCCTATCCATGCAACATCCTACCCTGTTGACTATGAACACCTCTGACACGTGCTGACTTGAACCCAGATCCACTCGCCACCAGGGATAATTTTGTTCAGCTGTATGTGTACAACTTAACCCCTTATAATGGCTGTCAAGATTTCCATCCAGTGCGTGCGCAGGAAAACCATCATATGCCGTAGTGGACTGTGTTGCTGATCGACCTGCAGCAATGTTTACTAATAAAAAACAAAACAAAACAAAAGAAGACTTCTATAGAGTCAGCCAGCCTCTCATTCCGTACACAGCTACTGACCTTTCTCTTTCGTCTTTTAACCGAAATCTCTTTCGAATCCCTTACCTACCCACGTGCATTCCTTCCTATGTATCTCTAACTTTCCTACTCACCACCTTCTAACCTTACTTAACAGGCTACATACCTGCTTAACAACCGACCTCCCTAGTCATCGACCTACCCAATCATTTTACCTAGCTGCCTTACCTCTTCACCTACTTTCTCATATAGCAACCAGTCTTATTGTCCACCTTGTTATTTTGCCTCCTGTTACGAAAAATTGTCTAAGTTAAGCTCCTAGAACATTCTACAAAACAGTCTAGAACCCGAAGTCATCCAGACGTGACCTTCTTGTACAAGAACGTTCTGGAACATTCTATTTCTTATGTAATTACTCAGATTTGGAAACCGTGTTAATCTACTAAATTTGGTTCTTTAGAGAAGTTTCTAGATCCTTGTACTTTATGTATGTAAGAGCGATAGTTTCATCGAAAAAACAGAGAGAATTGTGAAGAAGCTTAGTGCTGTATAGTCGAGAGATCAACTACGTGGAAATAAATCAGTTTGTTGCTGTTACCGACGATCTTGAGTTTTGTCTAGGAACAACCCTGCTCTACATCGACACTCGTAACACCTCCCTGTTTACACTTGCCCATAGGAGTTGATTCACCTGCTGGATTAGGATTCACTGACACCGCACAGATATCCAGCTTCTTATTCTTTCCCGCTATTCGGATGTCCACATATCGACCCCTGACACCAGGGGTGCAATCGAATGACTTTTCCTGTGAAGATGTCATAGTGTATGGTCCTCCACACTTTTGGTTGGAATTTCCTTCGTTATCGAGACTGTTTCCTGAGGAAAAAGTAAAATACCAGAAATATAAATAACAAAAATACTTCATTTGAATCGATAAATAAAAACATGAATAAAAGCTTTGTTTATAATCAAGCGCCATCCTGAAATCATTTTAAGACGTTTACCATCTTCTGCTGTCTTCTGTAGCGTCACGGCCAGAACTGAAAACATAATGAACTAGTAGCGATAAACTGGAAATCACAAAAGGACAGAACTCAAATGTGTATCAAGTGCGAATGTCGGACTAATAAGACACTTCGAAAAAAAAACAATAACAAGCACGCGGAAACATCGGTCACTTATCATCACTCACTCACTCACTCAATCGCTCGTCCCCGAAAGAAGTGACTTCGCCTTCTACTATATAAGAGGCACAGCCCAAAAAAGTCGCACACTGATGTCCATGATAAAAAATGGGACACTAATGTCTGCCCAAAATCAAAAATCGGCCACTGCTATCCAAAGTCGGCCACCAATTTCTAAAATAAAAAACGGTCACTTGTGTCTCAAAATAGAAAAACGGTGACTAATGTCCAAAATAAAAAATCAGCCATTTGTGCCCGAAATCAAATATCGGCCTGGTGTCCAAAATAAAATCCAAAAGATAAGCCTCTGGCATCCAAAAGCATAAATCGGCCACAACTGTCCAAAAGCAGATATCGGCTATTAGAGTTCTCAATAAAATATCGCCCCCTTATCTCCAAAATTAAAGATCGCTCACAAGTGTTTAAAAGTATAAAACGTGTCCAAAGTAAAAGATGGGCCAATACCGTCCAAAATAAAAAAAAACAGCCACTTGTGGCCAAAATTATAAATCGGCCTCGAGTGTCCAAAAGCAAAGATCGCCTACTAAATTCCAAAATAAAAAAAAATCGCCCACTTATCT